TGATRWTGATTGACTTTATTGGATCACAATCTCATATATACCCTATCCTACCCTTGCATCCTTCCTTCCTTCCATCCATCCATCCATCAATCAAACCAAACTTTAATCCCAACAAGTCGGATACGACTATTACTACAAGTGGGAATCCACCAAACAGTTCTCATTCAGAGTTCGCCAACATCCATCAATCAATCAACTCCACTCCACTTCACTTCACTTCACTCACTTCTAAGTTATTCAACAACACCATCTTTAGTGATGTCTTACTTCTGATCGACTTTTGACCAACTTTATAATCAATCAATACTTCTGAACTAAGAGTAGTATCAGTAGCTCAATCGAGTCGACTCAATCATATATATCCATCCATCCATTACCATAACATCCAACAACATCCAACATCACCAACCAACATCAAACATCCATCCAACCAACCATCTATACTTATTTATTTATTATTTATTGTAACAATATATACCATACATACTTTACCAGAGAAACAGTCTAAATGGCATCTCCTATAACTCAAGTACAGAACCCAGCAGATGAATGCGCAGATTCATCCAAACATGCCAAGGGTATGTCCATTCGCCTCACACGGAAACACATATGGAAACACATGCGGAAACACTTGGAAACTAACAAATTCAAACAAATATATATAAAGGTAAAGGAAAGAAGAAACAGATATTTAAGTCATTATTATGTTGCTTTAGTGATAGAACAGGTGGACATCAAAAAGATAATCATAATAATAATAAGACGAATAGGACACAACATGTTAAACAAGAGTTGATCAATGTAAATCATACGACTGGCGCACACCTAGGTCTATCACAAGATACACCAGATTGCCTACTCAAACCAATCGCTCCAGGTCTAAGCGGTAAGAAAACATTGGTACTGGATCTCGACGAGACGTTGGTGCACTCGAGCTTCAAGCCCGTGCCCAACGCCGACTTTATCGTGCCGGTCGAGATCGAGGGCCAGGTGCACCAGGTCTACGTGCTGAAGCGGCCGCACGTCGACCAGTTCCTCATGGAGATATCGCAAAAGTTCGAGATCGTCGTCTTCACGGCCAGTCTGTCCAAGTACGCCGACCCCGTGCTTGACCTGCTGGACCCGCACCACGTCGTGCACCACCGTCTGTTCCGCGAGGCCTGCCACCCGCACAAGGGCAACTTTGTCAAGGATCTCTCAAAGATTGGACGTGACCTCAAATCCACCATCATCGTGGACAACTCTCCAATGTCCTATCTCTTCCATCCTGAAAACGCCATCCCCATTGAAAGTTGGTTCGACAGTGACACTGACATTCAACTGCTAGAGATGCTTCCATTACTCGACAGTCTGATTCAAGTCGATGATGTAAGGACATGTCTCGATGTCAATAATAATAGGTATGCATCGTGATGGATGAATCAATGGATGAATCAATGGATGGATGGATGGATGATACTAACTTCAACACTAGAGCATGACATGCATGTTAATTAGTTAGTTATTTAGTTAGTTTGGTCTCGTTAATATACAACCAACGACAACAACAAGAATGTAATCAATCAATCAAACAATCAATCTACATCATCATTATTACAATGAATCAATGAAAGAATGAATGACAAATATTTGTCTTCAGGTTGGTAGTTAACATGACCCTACCATCTTTCATCCATCCTTCCATCCATCAATCCATTCAATCATTCAATCATTCAATCGTTCAATCATTCATTACTCAATGAATTATAACGATATAGTATATATATAACTACTACTTTCATACATTCCAATGTACAGTATGACTGAATGCAATGATTGATCCGCGATCTCCAACCCTCCCTCTCAACCAACCACATCCACTCACTCACACATGTCTGTTTCCAGGCAAAGTAGTAAGCCTCCTGTCGAGTAAATCACTTGCAACCTTATTATCATCGCCAACAATATATATAATGAATGTAGAATGTACTTCTTAAATAAGTAATGATTGATTGATTGCCTTGAATGAGTGATTGCTCACTCACATGCGACTGATTGCCTCTACTACCACTCACTACCTTGTGCCAAAGGTTATCTCTTTGAATCAGGACTTTCGATAAGTAACCACACTCACCAACAACACTCTAAAGATGTAAATCTTGGCTTGCATCGTCAGTCCCGATTCGTCCACCATCAACAACTTTATCCTTTCCCCCAAAATTATAAAGAAAAGACGAGACGTCGTTATTATAACAGGGATGGTAACTAGTTGTTGCAGTGTTTTGTGAGGTGTTGTGTTGACATCAAATAGACATGGCATCAACAACATCATCTATCGTCGTCCTCTTCATCTTTGTAGACCGTGTAAATTCTTGTCCCAAAGGGGGGGATACTGTTGTAGAGTGATGGGCTAGGCTATCAGGGTACCGACGACTCCTCATTAATTGAAATTAGTTGTGTCTTCACTCTCTCTCAGTCTCACTCCATTTGGAACTAAATAACTAACTGACTTAGTTAATGATCAATCAATCAATCAGTCAAACATCGTCTTCCCAAACATTTCGTTCAATCAATCAATCAAACATACAACAACAATATATATTTACCTTCCCTTCTCTCTATCTGTCTCCTGACTTACTAGCTAAGTTTGACTGACAGGCTAACAAACTACTTTGGTATACCATCACTCCACTCCACTCCACTCAACTCCACTCCTTCCAATCAACCAATCACTCGCGTCAAGTTCAACAATAACAACAAAGCGCGCATTCGTCCAATCATCTTTAATTTATCAAACACACCATTGCACAAAGTATAATTATAGACACATCAAGCTTAGTTCGTTGGCCTTCCTTTATTCCTTCGTTCGTTTGTTTAAGATACAGTAGATCGTCCAGTCTAATTGGTCAAATACATTCTCACTTTCCCTTCGACCCTACACTACCCTACCCTATCCTACTCTACTCTACCCTTCTTCATCATTAACCATCAGCAACTTGTTTAGAGGCTGCGGGACCAGAGGGCATCACACTGCAGTGCTTCACCACTAACACACCCACGCCCCCAACACACACACAAACACAGAGATACACACCGCTATCACCACACACGACACCAATCACACCACACTCTCCCCTCTCTCTCCCTCAATCAATCATTCATATTATTCAGTCAGTCAATCATTCATTCATTCATTCAACCACAATAGCATCAGAATCAATCAATCATCATCTCATCTTCGCACTCTCTATCAATCAATCATTATTCACTCACTCACTCATTCATTCATTCATTATCACTGAGAAGAAACAGCAAGCAGCAGTAATATTACTTCTCGTATGTGTCCATACACATCCATCCATTCAACTGACTGAGAGTAGTTGTAATGTGACCATCATTGTACTAACGACATCTTCTGGTTGTTATTATTATTATTATTGATTGATTCCATCCACTCACTCATTCATCCAATCCAATCAATCAATCAATCAATTAATTAATTAATTAATCAAACATTGTACAAATCACCAGAAGTCTAGAAGATAGAAGATAGAAGAAGATAGAAGAAGATGGATAATAACAACATGGAACAGAGAACAAAAGAGTTGGAATTGATATTGAATGAGTTCTTCACCTTGGACGCAGGACATCCAAAGCGAAAGGAGATGGGTAGGTCACGTCCACCTCAGTCCAATCCAATCAATCCAATCCAGTCCAATACTAACGACATGACCCATGACCCATGACACAGACACATTCCTTATGAGTTACAAATCACAGAAGGATTCATACGAGCATGTTAAACATTATATGACACACTCTAGCAATCAATATGTATACTGGTTCGCTCTGTCCATCGTCGAGGACAAGGTCATCAGATCATGGTCTTCAATATCAAGTCAAGGGCAGAACGACATTAAAGGATTCCTCTTTGATCTATACATAAACAATAAGGTAAGGTCGATGGCGCAGGCAGGCGAGGCACATGCCAGGACTCACTCACTAAATCAAACGATCGAACGAAATATAGACACTGCCTCCATTCGTATTCAAGAAGCTTGGACAGGTTATAGTGGATATTGGAAGGATAGACTTTAATCAGAACTCACAGGAATATATGATGAATATTATGTCATTGGTTAGGAATCCAGCAATGGGCGTAAAGGGTGTCAATCTATTGCAGTATATATCGGAGGAGTTCATCACCTCCAAAGAGGTGTTGACACAGCAGAAGAAGGACAGTCTTAAACGACTACTACTGGAACATGTACCGGCCATCCTCGACGTGCTGACCAAATACCTCGATCAACTATTCGATCAGAACGCACTCAAAAAGTCCAAGACTGACGTTGGTCTGCCCTTCCAAGTCGGCTCACCCGACACCAACACCTACTCATTCAACATCAGTCAAGAGGCCAGGAATCTGACCAAAGCAGTCTTTGGTATGTTGGTGGAATGGTTCCAGCCCCAGCCCCACTCACACTCACACTCACACTCAATCAATCACACAGATGCACTACTTTGTTACTTCTCTTGGATACCTTTGAATGAACTGTTGACACCATCATTGTTGGAGATGTTGTTCAAGTATATTAGGATCGAGCGAAGTAGTATTCAGGCATTGACATGCTTGAATGAGATACTGTCCAAGAACTGCGTGCCCAAGGAGTTTGAGCAGTTCCTGCTGCGCATCTTCCATCAGATCTTCTCGTTGATGACCGATATCACGACGGGCAATGGCATCGCAGCGTACAGCGGCGAGTTCATCGAGAAGTTCACGCAGTTCATCTCACTGTTTGTTGCCAACCACTTGAAGCGCGTGGAGAACAACCCCAGCTTCCACATCACCAACTTCCTCGGCCTGCTGTTCCAGTACACGTTCATCCAACAGTCGGTCGAGGCGTTCGACCTGTGTCTAGATATCTGGATGATGTTCCTCGACTGTCTGCTGACCAACGGTCGCGAGCAGTCGCTGCCCGGCTCCAGCAAGTACACCGACGGTCTGATCATGTTGCAGTCGGAGCTTGTCAAGCGTGTGCTCAACGCCTACAACAGTCAACTGGCGCAGCTGGACGACTGTGAAGAGGTTGACAACGAGATGGAGCCCATCGCCTCCCAACACGACCTATTCATTCGCGACTGCATCGAGATCATAGTCAAGATCACAGAGATATATCCAAACAAAGGATTGGAGAACCTTGTAAGTGTTCATTCATTCATTCAATCACTTTGATCACATTCACTCACTCACATACACTTGGAATCAATCCAATCACATACATTATAGTATCCATTGTTTGCACAGAATGTAACGACCTTCTTTGGAAAGCTTGAGGAGCTGATACAGAATAGGACGATCGATCAGAATGATAGCAAACTGCGTAGTATGGTCAAGGATGTTACAACCATTCTTCAACTTTTCGAAGGCCTATCACATCAGTTTGTTGCACTCTTCATTCAAACGTTCACAGCATCCAACTACATCTATCAAAAGCTGATCGACATGTGTGCTTTCTCATCCATCAACGCCACATTCCGATTCGGTAGTGAATGGGAGAAGTTGTAAGTAGTCCGTCCATCCGGCCACACCACGCACACTGGAATCATTCCAAACCCATAAACTAACAATGATCACACTCAATCAGACAAGTACAGATACTAAACACATTGAGATCATTCAGTTATTGGCTTGGAGAGTATGGTAACCAGGTTAGAGCATCACCAGCGCAGCAACAGGAGTTTGACACAATTGTACAGAAGTTGATCAGCACATTGGTTCAGATGTTTGATCGCACAGTGCCAGAGAAGGTGGCTACGGCATCTGGACGACTGATGATGTCGCTGGCCATCACCACCAAGCCCCTCAACCTGTTTGCTCAGATGGATGGCATCATTTGCAACATACACAACATATGCACGCCGCTGCCTGTGTCGGTACAGTGCGTCGTGTACTCGGCCGTCTGCAACGCCATCCTCAACCCGCCCTCCAACGTCAATCTCAGCACACAGTTTGACTCGAGACGACCCAAGTGCTCGCCATTCATTAAGGGCATCACTGGCCCCTATCTGGAGATCCCCCAGATACCCGGTCTCGTGGAGAACAAGATCTTTATGAAGGATGAAGTCATACAGCGTGTGCAGCGCGTACTCAAGATACTGACGGCGGTCATCAAGTCTGTTCCCGACTCTAACCTTGCCAAAGGTATCCTTCACGATGCTATCCAAGACACACTTGGCGTCACTCTTGGTCTATTCCGCATCTACGTCAACAAGCCAGACATACTCGAGTCCATCCTCGACTTCTTCTTCACACTCTTTGAGTCCCTCAAGTCCAAAGTTGGAGTAGCATTCACTCAACAAACAATCTCGTAAGCATGTCCAGCATCACTCACTTGGGCTCACCCATAGACCTCACTAACTCATTCACTCAAACTACCTTCCAGGACATTCCTCGAGATACTTGGAGGCAACAATATTAAGAACCTGCTGGGATCGGGATCAAACGAGACTGGCAACGTTATTATTAAGAAACTGATTGAGATATTGACATTCGTCATTCAGACCTATGGTCATTCATTTGACACATTGCTCTCGTCAATCATTCAGTTCTCAATGGAGCACATCTACCCTGTGATCATCAACTCTACCAATGTGCTCCGTCCACTTTTCTTCACACTCCTCTACTCCATCCTTGACAATCATTGGAAACACTTCTTCCCCTCATCCACCTCATCCTCCTCCTCCTCTTCCTCCTCCTCATCCACCAATGCGCTGATGTTCGGTAACACTAGCAACAGTAATGGCATTGTAGTTGTGGCAAATGGAAATGGCAATGTCAATGGCAATGGACATGTTAATGGACATCATGACAGTGCAGCATCACAGAGACAACTCGAGTCGATCATGATGGCATTCCAGACGACATTCCAACAGAACGATGTAAATTTATTCAAGCAGAACCTGGACTACTTTGACAAACTCAATGCCAAGTATAAGCTCTACGAGCGTATCACAATGCAAGAGAAGGTCTTTGGCTGCTCGTTCGTTGCCGTCTTCTTTGACATCCTCCTCTCCAAGTCACACAGTGTCCATTCCGAGGAAATCATCAACACCATATATAACTTTGCTTCCGTTGACTTTAATCGATTCTTCAATGATGTAAGTAGAATGATAGAGTTGATCGGGTGAGTGGACACTTTGTACTGATCATCATCCATACCACCAGTTCTTCAACACATATCTCAATCAGAAGAATATAAATGATGAGCATAAACGATCGATTAGGACCAACTTCACAGCGGACAGGGACCAGCCAACATTCAACAAGAACATGAACCAGTTCGTCAATGATGTTTCCTTCTACACCTATGTCAGCTCCTAATCAATCAATCAAAGATATAATAAAGTAAAGCGCGACCCAGACAGACCAGTTGAATGATCAATCAATCAATCACTCACTTTAATGTTTGATTAATCAATTACACCTCATCTGTGCATTGCTTAGGAGTGTGTCAAGGTAAGAGTGACCAGATGGTATCCTGGAATAGGTCATCTGGATCCAATCGAATGCCGTACACCATTGTTCCATCTGGTCCGAGACAGTTACTTGTTGGATGAAGATTGTAAGTGATTGCTCAAAGTATTGTGTGGCCAATGCTTCGTTCTTCTTGAGCTCAATGGAGCCTGCATCGTAGTAATGCGAGGCAGCTGACTCTGGTTGATATCTGCCAATAAGTGATGCGTATTGGATGTGAAGATCAGAGTATTGTGGCTCCCTCTCGATCATATAATCATAGAGTTGTGAGATTGATGCAAAGCTTATTTCTCTAGTACTGTTGCAATCCAGACTCTTGTTGAAGTACTTTGAGGCCACCATGAATTCACCGTCCACATGTAACCTTGTATAGCCATACTTATAATTGGCCTCTGTGGTACAATACATTGTGAGTTATTTAGTGTCTGTCATTGAGTCAGTCCATCCAATCACTTACCACAATATGTTGGATATACTTCCAATGCCTGATCAAAGTGATCCAAAGCTGTATTATATTCCTCTGAACCAAGGAATAACATGCCAATCATGTAGTGAAGCTTTGCGCTGTTTGGACATGTCTAAGGTTTGATTGGAAAGTGAGTCAGTCAGTGAGAGAGCAAGGAGGGAGGATCGCGACATACATTGAGTGAATCATTGAGCAACTGGACATCATCACTCCACATACTGTTCCTTCGATAGGTGACAACAGAGTAGAGTGATACTATGGCAACACAAACAGCCAATCCACCTAGTATCAGCAATGACATTATTTTGAGTGCTGGTTTCTTGCTGGATGATGTCTTGGCATGTCTACGACTTGCAACCTTTTTAGCGATGGCCAGTGTTTGTCCAGACTTTGAAGTTGTCGTAGTCCTACGCCTCAGTCCATCATTTGATTGATTTGCCTGTATTTCATCCGCATTATCATCATCACCATCAACATCAGAAGCGGCTTCTGCAGTTGAAGTCTCTGGCGTGGTCGACATATCCTTCTCCTGCTTGGATTCGGCAATAAACATTGGCCATGTCAGTAGACGAGCCAACAATATGCAAAAGGCAATTGAGGTGCTGTAGTTATTGGCCTCAGAGACCAGCTTCTCAGAGTGGAAAATGATGTTGGATGATGGTAGGAATGCGAATAGACCAAACAAGAGACACCATCTGAGTGAGTTAGACAGTGTGATGATCAGAACCATTACAAAGAGATAGAACGCTAGAGTGTAGAAGTTGTTGATATCAATGAATGAGTTGATCTGTGGCACACAGTTGATGCTCCATTCAATTGACAAGTGAGGATATGCCAACAACCAGAAGTTATGGAAGTGTGCATATGACATTGAGAGTAGTCTTGAGATTGTGTCGGTTTGGAAAGCCGCAGGATTGTCAAGTTCAATCACGCTTGGTCGTAACAAGGCGATTGGATGCAAGAAGAGTGCCACGGCCTTGCTCGAACTGAGTATCACAAATGTATGTATCATGCGCCAACGACCACGAACAAGTAGGTCGTACAGTGGCAGTATTGCAACCAATGTGTATACGACCAAGTAGCAATGGCAGCCAACAATGAAGAGTGCCAGTGCTAGTATGAAAGAGACCAGTGATTCCGATGCGTACAGTAGCGTGATCGTGAGCATGATGAGTGTCGACAACAGCACCGGCCTTCCGATTGGGCGGACTGTTGACAAACTTCCGTGGCGATGGGGTGTAGAGCAAAGAATAGTGCGCCAAGGAAGCAGCACAGGTCTTGGGCAAACGATGAGGTCCTCGTCGATGAAATGACCCTCGATGCCAGCAAGAAGACTTGAATAGTGATGATACCATGTAGTATTATATTGGTGAGATGGTATGACTCGGCAGAGGACTGAGGCTGTTCATTGAGTTCAGTTATCTTGGCATCCAGTTGGAATGAAAGTGTTGTGATCAGATCGGTACTGCTCCTGTTCGTGTTGAATCTGATTGCTGTGTTGGTCGATGCAGGATCCAATGTAACTACAACATCTTGATTGAGGAATGTATTCTGTACACTATTTGAGTAGATCACCAGTGGCACCAACAAGAGAACCAATGAGTAAAGACAAGTCTTGATCACATGCTTCACTGATTCAATGTTGGCGGGTCTGGCTGGTGTGGCGGTTGTGGTACCAGATGATGAAGATGATGGTGATGGTGATGATTGTTTGGTGGATGTCGCTTTATGTTGCATTGTGGAGAATGAACAGATAATATATCTAAGTTTAAGAATGACACAACATTGAAAGTAAGTTCAAAAAACGACACTTGTGATGGGTCCTTACACCTGGGTCAAAGCCCAAAGTACAATCGCTTTTGATCGATTGTTAAGATGGACTGATAGAGTGCACAGATTGAACACAACTCAAAGGAAGAAGAGAGACAATGAGACGATGATGTTTTAGGTTTGTCCAAGGACAACAGACAACTGGATAAAATCAACAGTTGCCTGCGTCTTTGAACGCGATCAGAACTTAAATCAGGTTTACTATTAATAGAACAATTTAGAAGCACTTTCTGTGGACGATGGATGGTCCGGACTCGTCGTACTCCTCCTTGGAGATCCACATTTGTTGGAAGGTGGAGAGGGAAGCAAGGATGGAACCTCCGATCCAGACGGAGTACTTGCGCTCGGGTGGGGCGATGATCTTAATCTTCATGGTGGATGGGGCGAGGGCAGTCAACTCCTTCTGCATACGGTCAGCAATGCCTGGGAACATGGTCGTACCTCCGGACAAGACGACGTTTCCGTAGAGATCCTTACGGATATCAACGTCACACTTCATGATTGAGTTGTAGGTGGTCTCGTGGATACCGGCAGACTCCATTCCGAGG